CCAGGTCCAGGACTCGAACCGTGGTCAGCTACATGGGAGTTCAGCAACTAAGCCATTAATGCTAACTACTGGTCCCCTCTGGGTTACATTCTTAGAGACTGGGATAGATCTAGGCCTTACCTCAATACAAGTTAGATGATCAGGACGTTTAACCATAAAAATGAAAGTTTAAAATATGATTGCATTCTCTAGCTAGAGTTTTTATATATAGTCAATAAGACAGATGCGTTGTAAAATCTGCATTGTGCTCTACCTTTCTGTCAGGACTCAGCTGCTCCTTTTAGGATCTATTAGAGCTTCAGTTCTCTTTTCAGTGTAGGATCTCTCACAGATCAGAACAGATCAAGAAATATTCTCAGGTAACTCAGTTAAGTGTTATAACAAATTGGTAATTCACCTTAACCTTTGATTTAACTTTCATTTAAAGAGCACCCCAGAGTCACTTGTTGTAATCCTGAAGGCTGCAAAGTTTCCCCAAGGGCAGGATCTGGAAATACTACAAAAATATTAAAACATACCATTTTCTATGGTAAAGATTGTATCTTCAGAAAAATTACTGAGGTACAAAAAAAGGAACAAATACAACAAGTCTACAGCATGTTGCTGAAAGTTGAGTTATACTGGGAAAGTCTAAGAGTTACAAAATGTGATAAAATTAAGGTTTTGTTGATAAATGTTCTAAAGCTGATTGTACCAATATGACATTGTCTGTCGCAATTCTGGGTATTAATTTTATGTGCTATATGCAATAAAAATAGCTAAATTTCTTTGTCTATTACATCATTATTTTAATAAACTGCTCTTCTTGTTTAGAATCAAGCTACAAATGGTGGTCTGGACAAAGTCTCCAAGAAATACCCACCATGACTTCTAATGGGGGGAAGAGACTAGATAGAGCTCTGAAAACCTCCTGCCATCCTCCCATCACCATCATCCCATCTTAGCTGGAAGCAGCCAGAACAGTCTTTGGTCCTTCTCCCAGTCACCATATTCCTTTGATCTTAAAATGTAAATCTTGTTCTTGAATAATTCATGACCCAAAGCTTCTGGAAAAGAATCTCCTGACCTTTGTACCTACTCCAAAATTAGGAGAATAATTGGACCCATCCAGCATGTGCTCCCCACCACCGGGAGGGGAATGCATTCAGGAGCCCCACCTAAAAGAAGTCTGGACAAAGTTCTTCCTGACCTCCATAAAACTCTTTGCCTCAGTTCTTCCTTAGCAACCCATTTTCTGAAATCCCTCCCTTCTTGGGAGCTCTGTTTTTCCTTCTATAAACTTCCTGCTTTGCTATATCTGCAAAAACAAAAAGTATAATGACCAATGGTTCTATGGTTCTTAATCCTGACTATACAGTAACGTCATCTCTGAGGTGTTTTTTTACCCCCAATTTCCAGAGGACATGTGTGCTTACCAGTGGTAGTGGGGGGGGGAGAGAATGTGACAAAGCACTCGTCTATAGGGGATGATCACAATGTAGTTCCTTCTCCATTTCTGCTTTTGGAATTTTGGGCAAACACATACACGTGCCTGGTATGTTTTTTAAGTTGCTGGTCATATAACCAGCCATGTGGGATCCAGCCACTTGAACCAGCCTGCTACTGACTGGCTCATGGGAACTTTCTTAAAAATCCAATTTCTGGGGACAACAGGTATTATGGTGATTGGGACACTGGACTCACACATGGCCGACTACAGTTCGAGTCCTAGACCTGGCAGCTTCCTCTCTCTCCCTTGACTATAGCAAGTTAAAAAAATAAAGTAGAAATAATAATAAATAGAATAAAATAAGTAATTCTTTTTTAAAAGTCCAATTTCTGGGTCCAATCTTCAAAAACTGGCTGTGAGGGCTGTGTACCTATAGAAACACTTCTCCTTGCCTTGAACTTCAGGGCACCAATGTCTGCTCTATGATATTCGGAGGCCTGGCTCTGCCATTTGCCTCCCTAAACAATCCAGTATTGCTCAATCATTTCCCCATTCTTTAATTTACTGTTTATTATAAAAGTGACATTTCCCTGAAAGTAAAATGCATTTGGATTTGGGTGACATCATCTTTGGATGCAACTAAATCATTCTTTTTTTTATTCTTTTTTTTTTTTAATTGCTATAGGGTATATGCACTTGCCAGAGAGAGAGAGAGAGAAAGCCCCCCCCCCCCTCCGGGTAGAATGATTGTACCACAGTTCCTTCTCCTCCATTCTCCTCTTGGGATTTTAGATATGTTGTGCACACATGTGCCCAGCATATTTTACAAGCCACTAAGTCTGGAACTTGAGCTGCATAGTTGGTCATGTGGGATACAGCCACCTTAAACATCATGTCATCTGGCTGGCTGGCCCCTAAATCCTTTTTTTTTTTTTTTTTTTTGGAGAGATTTTCACTGTAGGGTGCGTGCGCTCGCCAGACAGAAAGAGAGAGACATAGAGACAGAAAGCGAGAAATCACCCCCCAGGGGGGATGGTCACACCGCAATCCCTTCTCCTCCATTCTCCTCTCGGGATCTTGGGCACGCACGCACACGCGCCCAGTGTGAGTTTTAAGCCACCGGGTCCGGACACGAACCGCGGTCGACTACGTGGGAGTCCAGCAACATAGCCATTACGCTAACTGCTGGTTCCTGCCCCTAAATCTTTTTAAAGAGAGAGAAATCTGTCAGCACAAGGGATACAAGCCATATGTGTACAGGACCTAACACAAGTCCTGAAGTCCTATAGTTATTGATATGTTCTTTGTGACTATTCCTGAAACTGATTCATCAACCAGCAAAGCTGAGATGGGACACAGATGACATCTGGAGACTCTGATGGGGGATTCCATATACGCAGAGAAAAAAGGATTGACTATTTCATTAGGAGACTCAGGATAGAAGGGAATAAGAGGTCATTTTGTCCATCTTCTTACTTCTGGGGAGTACCCTCACCTAAATCATTCCAGCCAGCTAACAGTGCTTTGGAGGATTTATAGTCCTCCAAAGGAGGTGGCCTCTTTCAATCCCAGCCTTGATACATGGACCTTCTTGTATCTAATAAGGTAGTGATGATGATGATAACTATGATGATGCTTATGATAACAATAAAATAAGTTATCATTTCCCAAGTACATAATGTGTAAATACTGTGCTAGACACCTTGCTCACATATGTGATCTCATTACATCTTTATAAAATGTCTGCTATTCCTACTTCTCAGATGAGGAAATCAAAACCTCAGATATGTTAAAAATCTTTCTAAAAATAATAAAGCTAGGAGGCAATAAAGCTGTTTCTCATGTCTGATTCTAAAAGTTCTGCTCCTTCCTTGATACTACACTGCCATAATTATAATCCTGAGACCCTTCAGCCTTTAAGAGCCCAAATCCTTCAGGTCTTTTGTATGGGGACCAGAGAACTTTAATCTTAAGGATAATCATAATACACCCAACATGTGGGTTTGGAACTTGTCTTGCCATAAAGCTGGTTTCACATTTTATCTCATTCACTGACATTCCCCCGTATTAACAAGTTTCCAACATAATTTTGCAGACAGGGAAAATAAGGGTTTAAAATAGTCAAAGAGAGGGACCAACAGTTGGTGTAAAGGCTATGTCGCTGGACTCCCATGTAGTTGACTGTGGTACGAGTCCCGGACCCAGTGGCTTAAACTCACGCCAGGCACATGTGCATGAGTGCCCAAGATCCTGAGAGGAGAATGGAGGAGAAGGGATTGTGGCATGGCCATCACCCCTGGGGGGTGATTTCTCACTTTCTGTCTCTTTGTCTCTCTCTGTCTTTCTGGCGAGCGCACATGCCCTATAGCAAAAACTTCTCAAAAAAAAATAGTAAAAGAGAGGCCAGCAGATAGTGTAATGGTTACATCACTGAATTCCCATGTAGTCGACTGTGAATCGAGTCCCAGACCCAGCAGCTTGAAACTCACACCAGGCATGTGGGCATGTATGCCCAAGATCCCAAGAGAAGAATGGAAGAGAAGGGACTGGTACATGGCCATCCCCCTTAGGGAGTGATTTCTTGCTTTCTCTCTGTCTTTCTCTGTCTCTCTGGCAAGCACACACACCCTGTGGCAAAACTAAATAAAATTAAAATAAAGTAAAATAGTCAAATAACTGATTCTAGCTCAAAAATTGCAAGGACGGCCAAGAGCTAGAATACCTATCCTACATGCTTTTCCATAGCCCTAAGATAATTGGTGACACAGATGAAACAGAAACTACTGGAAGCCTCCTCCCAAGCCTGCATCTGTTAAAGGCCTGCTTTTGCATGGTACAATATCAAAGAAGCCAAGGACTTGCGAGCCCTTGCAGACTGCCTGCATCTCATACCCGGCACATCTTAGATCCCAGCCATTTGAATCTTTGTGCATAAAGTAAGATTTGCAATCAATAAGTTCTAGGCCCTGGAAAGCCAGGAGCCCACACTCTTACATTAACAGCTGAAGATAGTCTGTGACAACACACAGGGCTGTTCATTCTTCTGTAAATGAAAGAAATAGGCAAAAAGAAGCAGAGAGGAAGAGTGTAGAAGGGAGGGGAATGAGGAGTGGAAAGGAGGAGATGGAAAATATCTATAAGAAGAAAGGATAAAAACAGAGGAGACAAAGAAAAGAAAGCAAAAAAAAAGAGAGAGAAAGAGAGAGAGAGAGATAAGAAAGGCAAAAGTTCACAGCAGTACAGAGTTAAAAAAAAAAATCTTTAAGAACAATTGAGGCCAATCCTGGAAGGTAAAGTGATCTGTATAAAATTTGTATAAAGTTGGAGGTGGTAGTGGGTTGTTAAAATAAAAAAGACACAAAGGAAAAGTAAAAAAAAAAAAAAAAAAAAAAAAAAAAAGAAATAGAAAGGCAAAGATTAAAGGAAGCCCAGGTCCTGGTTAGGAGACAAAGAGAGAAAGAGAGACAGAGAGAGAGAGAAAAGCCACCAGGAGAGAGATAATGAGAACAGGGGGCTGGTGAAAGGGATGCCAGAGGGCAAATAGCTAAGGAGAGTGAAGGCTAACACTCACCCTCACAAAGCTGGCAGGAAACCATCCCTCCTCATCGTCGATCTGGCCCCACCACCAATCCTTGTTGGAAGCATCCAAGACTTTGATGACGTCGCCAGCCTTAAATGCCAACTCCCGGTTGGCCATGGTGACGTGATCCCATACTGCCTCAGCACTAACGATGGAATCTCCAGTGATCAGCTTAGGAGACAAAATGAGAATGTGTTCAGTCCACACAGCTGGCTATCTTGCTTTCCCCTTCCCCCACCCACAGAGCTCTATTACTTATGGGAAAAGTCACATACTTTAATGGTGAGGATGGGGATAAGGGAGATGGCACAGGACTACAAGATCCATTGAACCAGAAAACAAAGCTGTCAACTTTCCATTAGTCAGTGTATAGAATGAACCAGAGTGTGAATATGGGCCTCATAGGTCTTATGCTTTTATCTCTGCTCATGAACTCCTTCCCTAGAAAAAAAAAATGAGAGTTCCAGTCCATCCCTCCTTGGTGCTTCAAGGCTTCCCTGGATCTAGGACAGGTAGAAAGGCTGAAATCAATGGCTGAAATGTGGCTAAAGTTTATTTACTTTCCATTCTCTGACCATCCCCCACTTCTTTTCCTCTTCCTCCTTAGAACTGACTAATTGAGAGTTGGTAGTATTGGGTTGTCAGAAAAGTCATGACATATTTTACTCTGAGTCTATATGCAAAAAATGTGTTATGACTTTTCTAATGACTCAATACATTATTTAACCTCCTGTACCCCTCCCACAAGGGTAACAGACCATGAGATTCTCACACACATAGGACCCCACTACTGCAATCTCCTGCTCTCACTCACACATGATGCTATACAGACATCCCATGATTATGAAAGAATATGGTTTTCTGTGATGGCTTGGACCTAAGAAACTCAACCTCAGCAGATTTACTCAGTAATTTGTACAACCACCTTGTAAGATACAAAGGGGTTGTGGATTGACTTCTGTATTTGACAGATGGCAAAGCTGAGTAAGAAAGAAGTTAAAGAATAAGCTCAGGATCACCCAGTAAAGCAAAAGCTATTTATGAACCCTATTCTTGGTCATTAGATTTCATGGCCAGCAGGGCTAGGCTCTACACAATAGCAGGCAGACATCTATACTACTGATAAATAAATTAACATACATCCATGACATTTTTCTAAGCACAGTGATAAGGATGGGGATGGCAGGAAGATAGTCTGGCTCTCTTTAGCAATCCTGAATACTGTGTTATTTGTTCTGTTTTCCTTCAACATTCCAATTTGTATAGGAAATCAGTCTTTCTGACATTTGGGAAAACAGTTTCCAGAACATGTGGCCATGTCATGCAGGGAGAATCAAGCACTGTTGATCCAGCAATGAATTACTGAACATGCCCTCTGGAAGACAGCTTTTCCATCAGTCTACTTTGAGGAAAAACCAACTTTCAGGGCAATTATGACTCCATAAGATCAAAGATAAAAGAGTTCAAAGACAACAAAGAAAGCCTATGGAATATACTTCTCCCACAGGTCTGCTCTCCAACATACTACCTGGAAAATAACTCTATGGTCATGAAATGAATATACAACACATAACACACATATGAACATACATACACATATACACATAAACTCACAGACACACACACACCCTGATTTTTTGATTTAGTTAAGATGTTCTGTTCATTAAGTCTTGCCTATGGCATCCTTCACTGATCAGGACTCTAGCCTTTGTGCCTTCCACAGAAGGCAAAGTATAGAGACCCCTTTAGCATGAATGCAAAAGAGTTCTCCTGCATGACTTTTTATAACATCTTTTTTATTTTTTTTTGAGAGAGAGAGTTTTGGCTTTGATTGAATGTGGTTACTAGAAAGACAGAGAGAAACAGAAAGCAAGAAATTACCCCTCAGAGGGGATGGCCACACCACAATCCCTTCTCTTCTAGTCCCTCTCAGGACTTTTGGCAAGCACATACATATACCTGGTATGGGTTTTAAACCATCAGGTCTGGGACTCGAACCTCGGTCGACTACATGGGAGTCCAGCAATGTAACCATTACACCATCTCCTGGTCCCTATAACACCATCTTTTTATGAACTTCATCCTTGGACCAGAGCCACCCCCACTTCCACTTTCTCTCCTGCCATCATTCCCAGTTCCTGCCTGGTGGCAGCGGTTAAAACCAATAAAAAACAACTGAGGGCAGAGATCGCCTTAGGAATTCCACTGTCTCCCACCATTTCCAGCTGCCCAGAGCCCCCTCTGCTTCCAGCTTTCTCCCCTGCCATCATTCCCAGCTCTCAGCTCTCAGTGGTGGTGGCCAAAACCATAAAATAACTGAGGCCATAGATTGCCTTGGGAACTTCACTAGCCCTCCTCCACTTCCAAGGGCCCAGAGCCACCCCCCATACCCAATTCCAGCTTTCTCCCATGCCATTATTATGCAATCATGCCTGGTGGCAGCAGCCAAGCCCAATGAAAACAAATGAGGCCAGAGATCACCTTGGGAACTGTACGGTCTCCCCACTACTTCCACCTGAAGATCAGCCCCAGGTAAAACTGTTCTCAAGAAACTAGGAGGCCATTGGAAAATCCAGTTCCAGAAACAACAGTGCAGAAATTAGGAAGAAATGTACCATCCATCAGATGACTAGAAACTAGTTCAGATGCATAAGAAATATGAGAAACTAAGAAAATATCACTACCCCAAGAGAAAGGAACAATTTCTGATCATCCATGGACAGTATAATGGAACTCGTGAAAATGTCAGATAAACGATTCAGAAAATTAATAGTGACAAAACCAAATGAGATACAAGAGAAAAGAGACAATAAACTCCAAAAGATGCAAGAAAAAAGAGACAACAAGCAACAGGAGATGAAGAAGTCCTAGCAGGACTTGAAAGAAGAATTAGACGCCATTAAAAACAATCAAAAGGAACTATTAGCAATGAAGGCTGTAAGACAGGAAATCAAAGCCTCCTTCAAAAGTATTAAAGGCAGATTAGATCATACAGAAGATTGAATCTCAGATGTAGAAGACAAAATCTCTGACATAGAAAAAGAAATGTGGTATTACCTGTTGAAAATACTTTTATAGTTTTATCAACTGGACTAGGGAGAAATGTTCACATGTTGAAATATTCAGTTTGTAAGCTAAATAATGTGATTGAATGTAAAAGAGAAAATGAAATTTAAAAATGTAAAAAAAAAAGAACAAAGAACCAAAAAGATTGAAAAAATAACAACAAAAAAAAATGATGACAATATAGGAGGAATACAATATATGAATAAACACCCAAACATTCAAATAAATGATATCCCAAAAAGTGAAGAAACTAATTTGGGCATTAATAATCTATTCAAAAAAATCCTGGTAGAAAACTTTCCAACTCTACAGAAGCATTCAAACATTCAGACCCAAGAAATATAAAGGACCCCAAATGGAATTAACCCAGAAAGATCCTTTCCATCACACATCATTACCAGACTGGCGAAAAACACAGATAAAGACAAGATACTAAAATTAGCAAGAGAAAAACGCCAAGTTACTTACAAAATTCATCTAATCAGGCTAACAGCAGACCTCTCACCAGAAACAATGCAAATAAGGAAAGAATGGGAATATATATTCAAAGTGTTGAGTGGGAACCAGCAGTTAGCATAATGGCTATGTCGCTGGACTCCCACGTAGTCAACCGTGGTTCGCGTCCCGGACCCGGTGACTTAAAACTCATGCTACGCGTGTGTGCGTGCATGCCCAAGATCCCAAGAGGAGAATGGAGGAGAAGGGATTGTGGCGTGACCATACCCCCTGGGAGGGGGTGATTTCTCACTTTCTGTCTCTATGTCTCTCTCTGTCTGTCTGGCGAGCACATGCACCCTATAGCAAAAACCTCTCCAAAAAAAAAAAAGTATTGAGAGAGAAACAATTTCAACCAAGGTACAATACTAAGTAAGATTATCCTTCAAATGGAAAAAAAAAGATTAAAAACTTACTCAGATAAACAAAACCTGAAAGAATTTACCAACACCAGACCAATTCTTCGAGAAATTCTGAAGGCAGTGCTATATACCAGGAAAACTAAAGAAACAGGTAGAAATAAGAGAAGGAAAAAAAAAAAAAGAAAAGAAAATGGCCAACTTAATGTTAAAATCAAGTCCAGAAATATCGACAGTAACATTGAATATTAATTGACTAAATTCTCCAATCAAGAGACACAGATTGGCTGAATGGACTGAAAAACAGAAACCCTCTATCTCTTGCCTACATGAAATGCACTTCATGAATAAAGATACACACAGCTTAAAAGTGGAAGGCTGGAAAAAGGTATTCCATACAAACAGAAACAAAAAAAGAACTGGATTTGCAACACTGATTACAGATAAAACAGGCTTTAAAAAATTGTAAGAAGGGACAAAGAAGGGGGTTATATAGAAGTAAAAGGCCTAATTCATCATTAAGATATAATGCTTATAAATATCTATGCACCCAACACAGGAGCACCCAAGTACGTGAAGGAAAAACTGCTAAATCTAGAAGGAGTGATAGACTGCAACATATTAACTGTTAGGGAACTCAACACTGCACTATCTCCTATGGACCGATCATCTAGACAAAAAAAAAAAAAAAAAAAAAAAAAAAAAAAAAAAAAAAAAAAAGCAGAGATAGAGGATCAAAACAATATCATAAATCAAATGGACTTTTATTTTTTAGAGGTTTTTGCTATAGGGCGTGTGCGCTCGCCAGACAGGCAGAGAGAGACAGAGAGATAGAAAGCGAAAAATCACCCCCCGGGGGGGGATGGCCACGCCGCAATCCCTTCTCCTACATTCTCCTCTTGGGATCTTGGGCACGCATGCACACAGGCCTGGCATGAGTTTAAGCCACCGGTTCCAGGACTTGAACTGCGGTCGACTACATGGGAGTCCAGCGATATAGCCGTTATGCTAACTGCTGGTCCCAATAAATCAAATGGACTTGACAGACATCTACAGAACACTGCACACACACACACACAAAAAAAAAAACACAAAATATACATTTTTCTTACCCCCACATACAACCTTGTTAAAGATTGACAACATAATGGGTCACAAAACAAGACTTTACATATTCAAAGGTATAGAAACTATATCCAGCATCTTCTCTGACCATGATAGAATTAAACTTGAGATTAATTTCAGGAAAAA